AGTACAGTACGTAGGTGCAAGCGAGTGACTGGCGACAACGAGTCCCCTAATCTAATTTTCCACGGTAGTCTACTCCAGAAGCACAAAGTAGGCTCTAGAGTGGTATTATGGTGGGAGCTGTAGGGGGATGGGTAGAAAGCAGACTCAAAAAAGGTGTTTGAGAGAAATTGATGTTGGTGGTCTGAAGATCGGAGATGCAGCCGTGTGTCCTCGGTTGCCAGAGCATTCATACAGTAGGAACGGGGTACTACGGAGTACTTCCATTGGTGGTGATGACGCCCTCCCACCAAAGATAGACCTTACATAAGCCGTCCCCCAAATGAAATAAACCTTACTGCGAAGACATTGAATGTAATAATGCTAGGTACACATCGAACAAATGGATTGTAGTAATCGGTCATATTGAGTATATCCTGTACTGTACCTAGTACAGGTACAGTCCATACTGTCTTATGCAGGAGTATAAATACACAGATTTACTATGCTCATCGACCAAGATGTACTGTACATACATTATATAGGCAGCAGGCCGGGGCCAATGTTCGCTACGTACTGTATGTACCCGCTCACAAGCCTAGGTTGGAATGTGAAGGAAACGAACCCAGAGTGCGGAAGGGCAACGGTGGCCATTCCATTTCACCCTGACCCAATCAAGGACTGCCAGCCACAGCCTGGACCCCCTTGTTGAGGCTGGTTTCAGTACTTGATCAGCGTCTTGAAACAAAGGGTGCCTAAGAATAGTCGAAATTCTCAGTTGAAGCGCCGTAATTTCATGCTCTACCTACGTACCACTGATATTCACTTTTCTGGCCCCAAAGTGGCGTGCTATTATGGTACGGATATTCCCTGTTGCACACCCGTATCGCAGTCATCCCTTTAGATTAGACACAGAACAATGACACCGTAACCAGAAGCTGGCCAGATCCAATTACACTTACCTTTAGTGCACGTGCTACAATTGTTGGACAATTTAATGGAACGATGATTCCCAGGGTTCGAAGGAAGTAGGAGACAATCTCCTACGAGCCAAGTCAACCTGGCTCCTACTAGTAACAGAGGTTCAAGGTGAATTTGAGTTCGACAGTCAAAGGAAATAAGTGTAGTTAACACAACTGAAAAAGTTTGGCCTCAATTCCTCGCTAAGGATAAGAACGCAAGAAGCATAGATGAGCCTCCATTTCAGATAGTACCAGCTTCTTTTAAGATCCACCCGGGGAAATGCGCAAGGTCATTAGGCCATCACGCGAGCGTTGAAGCTTATCTAGAAGGGGTATTACAGCACAACACCGGTTGCCACACACAATGGAAGGAGAAAGATGTAACCCCAGACGCCAGACAGATTGTCGACCCAGGTGGTATCGCAGAAACCATGAGCGACGAAGAAAGACAAGGGTGAAAACAAATACAAACCTGGTTTTACAGCCCGGGCCAGGGATAACCCGAGCGGTAGCATACTTGGAGATATACTCCTTGCAAAGAGGGAGAGAGAAAAGACGAAGTGACATCTTGAGAGATACGTACCTGATCGAGTGATATCACGAGAAGCCGTTTGGTCTGAACTCGTAGGTTTTCTAGCAGCATGAAGGGCTAGTTTTTGGCGAAGCTCGCTGGCTACCTCCTATCCGTACAACAGATATGGAGCCTAAGATCAGCACAGCTCGCTGGAGCGGTTAGATTGTAAAGATGGGGAAAGCCCAGAATCGGCGACGAAGCGCTCGGTGAATGGGGTCGATAAGAGATATTCAGAGATATGGCGATCATCTAAGTGGGAAAGTGAGGGTTCTATGAGGATCGGGATCGTTTGGCGTCAGGCGAGGGCGTCTCAATCAACTCAACTTCGTCTTCCGGTTCACGGTGTCGTTTAGTGGAGGGATGAATGTGGGCTTTGGTAAGAGCTTCATTCGCGATTGCGTCTGCATCTTCATGAAACTCCAAATCGAGATAATCATCATCGAAATCCAAGCCATCCTCGTTGTCATGGCTGGCGGTCAAAAGCGGACTTTGCTCGGCTTCATTATCGAGATTTCCGAGATCTTCGAACTCATCTGCATGGGCGACTTCTTCGGCATCGTTCTTGGGACCTGCGCTTGGCAAATTATCCGCAACACCCAGGGAATCATCTGCTGAATTCATAGTCGGATAAGATAGGTTGTTCGTTTCGTCTTCGAAACTCTCGTCCAACTCAACAACTTCTGTACCTTCGGGGGGAGGAGCAGCAGCAGCAGCAGCAGCAGCATCATCATCATCATCATCATCGCCATCATGCAATGCCGCGCCATTAACATCCACATGATCTTGGGAGGCTGCAATGGACTTCTTATCAGAAGAGTGAGAATCTTCTTGTACACTGGAAATCTGTTCCTGATGAGTACCTTGTGCATCAAGGTCGGAGGTAGCTTCGTAAGAACCGACAGGAGCTGCTTCGACGATTTCACCAGGTTCAAATTGGTCAACTTCGTTCAACGAGTCGATGCCTTCAAGTTCCGTACCATCGATGTCGTTATACTCATATTGAGTCTCATCAAGCTGATGGTCTGTAACACTAGTGGACCCGCCACCTGCCTGCTGCTCATCCACACTCTCAGTCGGTGGTAGCTGGGTAACCGTGGCACTTGATTCGCTTTGCTCCTCAGAATGAAATGATGCTTCTTCCGTGTTTTGAGAGATAGCTGCATGACCTCCAGTCTCAAGCTCAAACTTAGCTTCGCCGGCCTGATCAGCGAGGCCTTCTCTAAATGCATCGACTTCGCGACCATTAGCTGGAATTTCAACTTCCGCCCGAGAATTATTTTCAATACTCTCTTCACCATGATGCTCTTTATGATCCTGTTGATGACCAGAGACTTCTTGAAGAAGCCCTGTACCAACTTGTTTGTCATCATCAGGTTTAGGGTAGTCTTCTTCTTGCGGCAAGTCAGAGTAAGGTACCTCGCCAAGGTCCTCATATAGTTCCGCGGAGACAGCTTCAGCCTCTGCGTAACTATCCCAGACATGAATATCAGTAAGGCCCTTTCCTTCGTTGGCTGCTGCGAGAAGATCAGAAAGCTCCGCAGAAAGTGTCAGTCGTGTGCTAAGTGAGAGATAAAGAGGCTCCGGCTCATCAATGCCCTCATTGTGGCATAAGCGCAAATAGAGGTCAACTACTTGAGATAGCGTGATATTGTCCATATGCATACAGTCCTGATTGGTCCATAGGTTAGCATTTGTGCAGTAAGAAGGGCAGGCCAAACAAACCTCTGCAAGCTGAAGATTCAAGGCATCAACGTCCATAACGAGCACCTCCCTATCACTAACATGCTCTCTGAGGACATCTCGACATGCTTCAAGAAGTTTTGCGAAAGAACCATATGCAAGACTTTCATCTTCCAGGAAAAATGTCTCTGAGGAATCGCCCTCCCTAGGAGGAAAAAGAGATATCTCAGTTTCCTGGTAATATACCTTAACTGAGTACAGAGCTTCATGTTCTGTCACCTCCACTATTTGCTCAACCGGTTGCTGAGTATCTTGACCAGCTGCGGCATCGTTGTCTGGCTTTTCCATACCCTTGGTCTCGATCGTTCCGCCCTCTTGGCGTTCACCTTCTTCATGCTGCCGTTCTATATTTTCAAACTCCTCTTCTTCCTGTGTTTCTCCTTCAGCCTTACTTGTAGAGAAGTCAGTCTCGTCGAAATGGCTTTCTTGTACTTGGGACTGCGCCGGTTGTGTAGCATTGTCGCCTTGCTCCTCGGGTTTTGTGGGATCTGCAGTCTCATGTTCTGCTTCATTAGCGCCAACATAGCCTTCCTCAACCTCTCCTTCTTCAAGATAATCTGCCGCAGGCTCTTGAAGATGCTCCGATTCTGGACGAGTCTCAGCATGGTGCCCCGGGAGAACCTCAGCTTCCTGTTCGGCATGATGCTCCGCTTCAAATACCTCTTGAGGCTCGCCTTGAGGCTCTGCTTGGGGCTCTGCTTGTGGCTCTCCTTGGGGTTGTCCTTGAGGTTGTCCTTGAGGTTGTCCTTGAGGCTCTTCTTGAGTTTGCTCCTCAGGATGCTCTTGATGCTCCTCGTGAATTTCCTTGCGTGGTTCCCTTTGTCCGTCTACAGCGGTGATGATGTCAATTAGACCTTGGTCCTGTTCCGTTGGTTTGCTAAGTTGTTCAGATGAAGGTTGGACGTCGACATCTGTGACCGGAGCATCGATATCTTCGTCGTAGTCGTCTTCTAACATCTCTGCTTCGTAATCCCGGTCGGACCCGTACTGCATTTCGATGTTGTATCCTTCTTCAGCGAAAGCGTCTTCCGCTTCATCCATCGTCCGCTCCGCTATATCGTCGGTCATATCTGCATCGCGAGCGCCCTCCAGGTCATGGTCCACTGCGTTTGATGGCTCTGGAAAGTCATCCGCTATCATCATGTCCTTATCTGTTGTTGAAGCCTGGTCTTCCATGATGTCGATATCGATGTCGAAATCGTCGACGTGTCCCTGATAGGGAGACGCCATTTCCATTTTGTCCTCAGCCATAGTAGCCTCCATTGTGAGATAAGCCAGCGAAGAGGCAGCTGTCATGGCATAGAATCAGCCGAAGGTTGGGAGACGCGTGCAAATTTCGGCGTGGCGATGAAGGTACGCCTGACGAGCAGCCCGAGCGCAACCGTATGACTCGGGATGGCTACTAGACGAGGTATCCGCCAAATCTTCAGAGTCAAACCGGTGAATACGTCACTAAGTAGTGCTCAGCTCTGTCAAGAGTGAGCAACAGAGCAGTGAATCTGGGGAGGTTTGAGGATGTCCTACTACGGGGTTGCAAGCGGACGAAGCTTCTTGTGCTGCGGTAAGCGAGGGGGTAGCGCGGGCGCACGGGCCAACGGGGACAAAGAGAACAGCAAGCGACTCCGACCTCCGTGGCTTCGACGTCTAGACACGCCTAACAAGAACACTCGTCATCTGCACTCACCGGGGCAGTTTGTTGAAGGTCTCGCAGTCAATTTGTGTCGAACAGTGAACTGTCAATTTACAAAATGGTAAATCCTCATTAATATGACTCAAATTAACCCAGCTTCCACTGCTAACCTGGCACAACACTAGGTCGTCCTCGCAGCGTCGATATGCACCCGCGGGGGCAAGGCAGTCCTCTCGCGTCAATTCAGAGAAATCGCTCGTTCCAGAATTGAAGCTCTTCTCGCATCCTTCCCTAAGCTAGCTGACTCTGGAACACAACATACGACCGTGGAGCAAGATAATGTCCGCTTTGTCTACCAGCCCCTGGATGAGCTATACATCGTCCTGATCACAAACCGCCAATCCAATATTCTGCAAGATATCGACAGCCTTCACCTTTTCGCCCAAGTCACCACCAGTATCTGCAAGAGCTTGGATGAAAGAGAGATTGTGCGCAATGCGTTCGAATTGCTCAGTGCGTATGACGAGCTGGTGACGCTAGGATACAGAGAGAATCTATCGCTTTCTCAGATCAAGACATTTTTGGAGATGGAGAGTCACGAGGAGAGAATTCAAGAGATCATCGAGCGGGTACGACTCAGCAGAATGGTTTCGAGACGACGGTTGCTAACTTCCCTTGTCAGAACAAAGAATTGGAGGCCAGCGAGGAGCGCAAGAGGAAGGCCAAGCAGCTGGAAATGCAACGAAAGGAGGCCGCCCGGAGCGGTCGTTCTATGGCGCCTCGGACTCCATCCTACCCTGTGTATACGCCTCCATCCCGCCCTGCTGTGCCCGAAACATATGACACCTACGAGGCAGAGAAGAAGAAGACCTTCGCTAAGTATGTCATATACTCCCCCCGCCCCCCATCCACCCCTTGTGCTTCACGCTTTTATTCATATCGCTGCTGACACTTCCGGCTCCCATCCTTAGGCCGTTACCTGTCCGTGGCAAAGGTATGCAGCTCGGCAAGAAGTCGAAAACTACCGATATTTACGAGAAAGTCCGTGGCGACTTGGGCCCCGAGGCAGAGGAGGCCACCCCACTGGTGACCCCGCAGGCATCGACCCCCGTTGCCGACACAGTTTCTTCCGCTCGTGCGTCGCTGTCTGGGGATCGTGAACCCGTTCATGTGACAATTGCCGAAACTATCTCCGCTACACTTACCCGGGAGGGAGCCCTTAGGTCGTTTGAAGTGAAGGGTGATTTACAGCTTCGCATTACCGATCCCTCTTTCACCAAAGTCAGACTCGACCTCCTTGCAGTCCCCACGCATGGCGCGCAGTTCCGCACCCATCCAAATGTTGACAAGGCTGTCTTCACAAACGACTCCGCTATCCAGCTAAAAGATACCACTAAGCGATTCCCAGCCAACAACTCGATTGGTGTTTTGCGCTGGCGTGTCGCTAGCTCTGGGTCTGACAACGCTGAAATACTTCCTATCACGTTTACTGTGTGGGTCAACAAGGGCTCTGATTCGACTACGGTCACGGTCGAGTACGAACTCACTGGCTCTGACAGCCTCCGGGATGTTATCGTTACTATCCCCTATCAGACGGCCGAGCCCGCGGTGTCTAGCTTCGACGCCGTGTATGAAGTATCTGGCGACAGTCTTGACTGGAACATTGGCACGGTGGACGAGAGCAACGCATCCGGAAGCTTTGAGTTCGAGTCGAGTGGTGATGGCGATGAAAACGAATTTTTCCCGATGAATGTACGCTTCTCCAAGGCCAGTCCTTTTGTGGAAGTCGATGTCAATGAGGTCTCTCTCTTAGAGATGGAAGGAGAGAGCACCGCATTCACCAAGGATATCAAGTGCGTTGCGGAAGGATTTGTTATTGAGTGACTTTTCTACTTCAGTCGGGTGTATAGAGTATTAATGACGTTCGGACTGCCCTTATCTTCTATTCTTAAGAGACTTTGCCACATCTTTTGTTTGCTTTTCTTCTAACCAGGGTTTCCTTCTTCTCAATTTTGCAATTCAAGCCTCACTTTTGAATCATACCACTCGCGCCTTGCCAGACTGTTCCGGATGCTCAAACCCGCCTACGTGTCAAGGTTGGATAGAAGCCACTCTACCAGGTCTAGGGCTGGCTTGCTGGCTGAGGACTAGGCTCGGCGATTGCTGCGTGTCTCGACCATGGATAGATGCAGCGAACATCATTGCTGGACAAACTCTGGATTCATGAAAATCATCGGAGACGCATTGTAGTAACATCTCCGCTTTTCTGTGGGTTTGTACTGAAATCAACAATTAACTGCCCACCAAACCTGATGAGCTGGCTACAAGTTCCAGCCAAACCAGGCAAGTCAGATGTGGCCCACAAGCAGTGGAAGTTTAAATAATCTTTGTTCCATCGGCTTTGCCTGACTCCGTTTCAGGTACTATGCGGGTTTTCTCTTTGAAATCCGGTAGACATCTGAGCTTCTAAAGCACCCCTGTGACCGTTACCCCCGTCATTTCACAGTCTTGAGCCATGGAAGATCAAGTAAATTAGCCAAGCATGAGGTCAGGATGCTTTCCGTGGGGTTGAGAGAGCTTTCTGAATGGCCATCACTGACTCAGGGATCCACCCAGCGTGGCATGACAAACACAGTCACTGCATAAAGTTATGGGCAACTTCCATGGAGACCGAGGCCACTGTACCTAGGCGCGCTCATGGGAAACATGAAGGTTAAATGCCTAGCTTCAATAGTGTCAGGCAACAAGTGATTAAGCGTCCAACGGCTCATCAGCCAGCTGTGGCGAGATATAGATCACGCATGAAGAGAGAAATATTCACTGCAACCTAAAATACTGGATTTGTGACTCAACATCTCTGGTGGAGAACAAGATGTTTCCCCAGCGATCACAATGCAGTCTGCTGTCTGTCTGTGTGTAAGTAAGTGAAATGTTTTACAAGGCTCTAGCAGGCTAAGGCTAGAAATCACATGCTAATGGACAGAGCCAATTACTTGATCATCTACAGTAAGCATATGAGCATATGAGCATATGAGCTCAAAAACGGTTGAGAAAGTTTCCCATTAGGCTACTAAACCGCTACAACCCATGGTTCGCTTCCTATACTTCGGGTGTGCACCTCTTCGCATGGCCGAGAAAACAGCGAATGTTTGTATCCCACCTCTGCTCAGAAAGGAGAAAGATGGAGATTCGGTCTCGTCCATTTCATCTTCATTTGTCAGAGCTTGGTCTCCTCAGTCCCAGTGCATGCAAGAGCCTACCAACAGTGGAAGGAGATGGCAGGGTTACATTCCATTTTCCAAATCGAACCCCGCAGAGGCTATCTCATCAGAACTCAGGGCTTACACTGGGAAAGTTTACAAGCACTGAACCAACTTGGGATCCAAGAGGTGTGTGCCTTTTCTTTTCTGCTCATTTCACATGTTGGTTCTGGGTTCGCTACAGCCAGACCACAGATGGGGACTTGACGGGCTTTGAATCATAAGGGATCGAATTAGGTAACGCCAGACTGATGGTGATACTGCACGGTGAGGCCAGTCGTGGGTCGAGACTCCTCTCAGTCAAACTGCATACAGAAGTGGGCGTGGGTTACGCATCCACAGAGTCATGAGAGAGGTATTTATCCCATTGTTCGCTCTCCACTCTCTATTTCCGCAGAATAAACTCAGTGGAAATCGGTCAGGAACCACTCATTCAGGACTTCTCCACCCCCTCCTCCTCCTCCCTCTCCATTGACGCTGAATCTAAAACATTCTCCAACCACGGCAGTACCTTCCATTTGCAAGTCTCCTCCGACTTAAGGGGTCAGGGTTGACCATATGACATCAATATGAGCCACTATCTTTCTTTCTTTTTTTTTTTTTTCAAAGCGTACCAAACTATAAGATTCATCGATAATGTTTGAACCCATCCCTATTGATACCACAAATCGACCAACTTGATCATCAACATGCAGGTTCTTCTCTTCTCGCAACTCCACGTATCCTCATAATGCAGATATCCAACTGGACAAGTCAATCAACGGCAGCGTTGTTTCAAGTCACTGCGCCTGAAGCAAAAGGGCACAGCCATGGAGTAAGCTAATGATGACACTTGATCAATGTACCCATTTCAAGCATGCTAAAAACGTTTCCTCATTCGTTTTCTCTCCAGGATAACCCGATCCCCCCTTTACTGCGGCCCAGTAGGGATCTTTCCGGTATCAGGAAGATGGCCATCCCGAGGTTGGCTGAAGGAAAAGAAGCAGTCCATTCCGCCCGGTCTCACCGTCGCCACGTAAGTCGAGCGTGCGAGTCTTGTAGGCAGAGGAAGACAAAATGCACGGGGGACAAGTCAGGCTGCCGCAACTGTCGGGACGCTGGAATGATCTGTTGCTACACTGACGGAAAAAGAGAGAAGTCTAAGAGGTGCGTCAAACCTGAGCACTGAGCATACTCGGAGCCTAAGAACTAACGCTGATTGTCACGAACGAAGACAAATGGCCAGCTTGGAAACTAAGATTCGCACCTACCAAAACGTGTTGCAAAATTTAAGCATTCGCTTGCACGTCCCCGAAGATCAGCTGATGACATTCGCTCTGGCAGTGGTACGCTCAAAGACCTCTTCTGTCAATTTCTGCTTAGGACCCCTGCTGAGTCTCATTCAGGATGACCCGTCCGAAGACGCCTCCTCCCGTGAAGAGTCTGCAACTCCGGACACCGAGGCCCGGAGGCAGTCGTCGGTATCCGAAGCCGCTACACCTTTCTTTTCAGGGTTTGAGAACAACCTAGATCGCATAGAGGAGGATTTGAATCGGGATGAGGCCTCGCAAGCGACTGGCTTCGTCGGTCAGAGCTCAGAGATATCTTGGTTACAGACTCTGGCCAGAGAACTGGAACTTGGATATGATCATGGATACTTCAGTGAGAAAGAGCCATCCCCAGCTATAGCAGCAGCTCACCACAATCGCTTCATCTCGTTTCCCAACTATCATTTGGACGCCATGGAGATCCCCTTATTTGACAACGTGGATCCGTATTCTTATCCCATCAAGGATGTTGCAACGAAGCTATACAAGACATACCTTGATTGGGTTCACCCCTCGTTTCCGATCATCGGTACTGCCCCTTTTGGAGCACAATTTCAGGCTTTCTTCGCGAACTCATCCTTACGCCCTGGGTCCCTACGCCCCGGGAATCGATGGCTAGCAATACTCAACCTGATCTTCGCCCTTGCTTCCAAGTACGCGCATTTATCCGAGGCCGAATGGCAAATGGATAAGGACGCACATGTTGTGTACTTTCTCAAAGCCAAAGCTTTGGGTCTAGATCATCAGCTACTGACTTTCCCTGATCTACAGCAGCTGCAAGTCGAAGGACTAACTGCTTTGTATATGCTGACTCTGGGCCATGTGAACCGGTACGTGTGCCCAATCTATCCATGCTCTATTCTACTACTCACACACAGCTAACAATATATGTTAGCGCTTGGGCATTTTGTGGAAGCGCGATCCGCGGGGCTCTAGGCCTCGGGCTGCATCTACGCCATCTGGGAGACAGCACATCCGATACTTCAAGAGAAATCAGATGCCGTGTATGGTGGTCTCTATATACGCTTGACCTTCGTCTCAGTGTGATGACCGGGAGACCTTCTTTCATCCCCGACAGCCTGTGTACAACACCTCTGCCCCTTCCATTCGATGAACAAAACTTTGGGAGGGAAGAGGTGATGCGGCAGCTTAGGCGCTCGATTGACGGTAGCCCCCTTCCGACGGAAATGCTGTCAACGAGCCAGTCGGAAATCGATGCAATGAGCACGGTGGTTGAAAGGGTGGATTCAGAAGAGAACAGATACTCACCCTGCGGGCCCTTGTACTTTGTTCATTTGGTGCAACTAACCATGATTGCAAAAGAATCCCTAACCAAGATCTACACCCCGAGCACAATTCGATCTCCTTGGCAAAGCGTTGAGTTCGCCATACGCAGTCTCACACTTAATCTTGACACATGGCTAAGTAATCTCCCCAACGAATATGATTTTACCCGCACCCAGTCATCGCAAGTATCGCAGGAAACGTCAAATCAGAGGCTTAGTCTGGCCCTATTGTTTTACAGCACCAGGATAAGCATCACACGACCCTGCCTTCGTCGTGTAGAGTCTTTTAGCCAAGGGGGCAAGATGCAAAAGTTTGGTCAGAAAGTTGCGGAGGACTGCGTCGAATCAGCCTGTCACATGTTAAGACTGTTCCCAGAAGACCTGAAATCGGCAACATTATATACAGCGTCCCCTTGGTGGTGCTTATTGCATTACTTGATGCAAGCAACGGCGGTACTCGCTCTTGAGCTCGCCTTTCAAGCTCAGCATGTACCGGATAAAGCGTCGATGGTTTCGAAAGCTCTTGATAAAGCGTATGAGTGGCTGTCTTTGATGTCAAGGACACAAAAGACCCCGGAAAGAGCCCGCAGACTCTGTGATCGGCTTTTGCGCCAACTCAAGCAACGGGAGGACATCAAAGTCTCTGAGTCTCCTTCCGTCCAGTTGACCAGCCTAGAGTCGCCTGCAGATACACCTCCCACATCACATCCGATTAGAACAAGAGAAAGCTCGGCGGACTCGGAAAGTTCACCTCTTGGGACGAAATTGGACTATCAGCAATCACCAGCTCTATTGACCGGCGATATGAACTACACGTCTTCACACCTCCTCGAAGCGGCGGGCGACTTTCCAATTCCAAGTGAGAGCACATTGGAGCTTCCGAGCAATTACGACGAGTTCTTTCCTTACGACACAAGTACTGGTCAGCTCACGGGCTCCTTCTTCCCTACAGAGTATGGAATGGATGTGGAACCGAGTAATCTCTACCACTTTTGACAGTCCACTTGAGTATTCGACATCAGTGCAAGGCATAAACTCGGGTGGGAGACTTGGATGGGCATGCTTGGAGTCTCCCACTCTGTCTAATTCATAACACCCCCACAGCATTCGCTGTCTGCATTTTTCTAAATCGGCCATGCCGAAAAGCATGTAGTGTTCGAAACAGGAGACTGTCCCAACAGCATGATCCTTATCCTTATTCATTCATCAACATGATAAGGGTGGAAACTGTGTGTTTCTGTGCGCAAGGCGATCATCCCTAATTGGAAATGACACAGGTTAACCTTTAGCAATTTGTCAGACTAGGCTAGGTAATTCTAACAAAGGCTGTCACCATACAGGGAAAGGCCCACGGTGACTATTCAACTGCATCTCCCAATTGGAGTTGACGACCTTCTGCTTGCCGAGAATAAGCACCATCAGAAAGTTGCAGAACAGTTGCAGTGTATGTCTTGGGTTCAAAAATATTTTTTAACTAGTATTCCAATTCGTGTGAGTATAAAATTACATTTTTGATGCTCCCATTGTTAAGTCATGGTGCCTGCTTAGTAATTCGGATACATAACCAATCCCTTTCATATAATAACAGAGCTTGATCATTTCCTCTCGCAATCATCACATTTTGCCTCTTGATAACAAACATTATCGATACTGCAGCTGTACATTGACATGAGCTCAAGCTATAACTCTTGATGGAGGCTGTCTTGTGTCAGACGTTCACAAAAGCCGTTACATAGCATCCTGTGTTGTCGGTAAATATCGATAGCACGACCACCTCTAAGAGGCTATACCACCATCTGCTTTACCGCAGATACCAAACGCATTCGCCTTGATGACCCGTAAGGCCTGCAACAACAGTGGCTTGGAAGGCGACTTCCGTTGTAAAACACTTTTCAGGCTGCGGTACCGAGCGTGCAACTCATTGGCATGGATCTGAGTCAATCGTCCGCTTCGGTTGAGGCATCCACACGATGTGCTCTAGATAATCCGTCGCTGCCAAACTCCAGGAGAGTCAAACAGCCTCTTGATGGATCTTCAGGTATCCTCCTGAAGCATAATGATCCTATGCCCTCCAATCGGAGCTCCTCGGGCATCAAGACCATCCTTCCAACGGGGGACATAGCCATTGAGCACCTGGACCCTGAAACAGTGGCTGCCACTCTATCCAGAGCTGTGGTCCATCGGTGGCGAGTGTCCAGCAGTGATATCATGCGCAACAGCCCATACTTTAGGGCTCTCTTGGATCCGCATAAGTTCGCGGAAGGCAAAAACCTGATGCACCAAAAGATCCAAACCCAGCAACTAGCCTCCGAATCTACGGTTGGGAGCCTAGACTCTCCCGACGACGAGCAAGCCTGGAACACGGATGGATTGCCGGTCGTTCGACTTCCAAGCGATCACTTTTCCTCGCGTCTCGGAACGGATGCCATTGAGCTCTTTCTCGAGGTTCTGTCCTACGACTCATATGATGACGAACAACAGCGCGCGTTTGACGCTAGGCTCAGAGTGCAGCCTGTGTCCCTTGTCTCGAGATTGGTGGAACTAGCCGATGCTTTCAACTCACCGCAGGCCGTTCAGAAAGCTCTGACACAGTCAGGTTATGCTTTTGGCAAGGGGAAGGTCCCTCTCATCAGGTTCGATGCAGCCTCCTTATTGAAGCTGCCCGAGGATCGGATCCGCCAGACCATATTCGTGGCTCGATTCTCCAATGAGCACGCCATTGTTCAGGTGTACACCCATACCCTCGTCGTGATGGGGTCGAGATATTGGTCGAATGGCGTCGTTGAAGCTCCTGAAACTCCCACGTTTCCCTGGCGATATCTCACTGGTGGAATAGAAGGTCAGACATCAACCTCTAAACCAGCACATAGCTTGTCCAAGAAGCAAATCAAGTTACTGATGATCGGACCCAGAGGAACTTTACTTTCGCCGACAGTGCGTCCTCAACACGATCACTGACCTGCAAGCCCACTTCCTCCGTGCCTACGGAGCTCTCGAAGACCCGACAGACGACGCCTACCCTTCGGCCACAGCAACAACATCCACATCTACGGCCACGACAACTACGACAGCAACCCCCCAACCCCGACCCCCATTCTCCCTGCCCGCCACCTCCACCACCCTCCATCCTCGCCCCTTCCAATGCCGCTACGGCTTCGCCAACTCCAGCGCCTGCGACGCCTTCCATCTAGGCCAAATGACGCGCTTCTTTGCGTTACGCACCAAGACTATCTTCCTCGGCTCCACCCTCATCGACGACCCGGACTTTCTTCTCACACTGGATGATGAAGACCACGATAATGACGAAGCTGATGATGAAGATGATGAAGATGCCAACCTAATAGCCGATCACTCACCACCTCCCATTCAACAACAACAACAACAGACAAATATAGCCACACTCCTCGCCTCCCTCAAACAGTGCCCGGACTACCAGATAGACACCAACCACACGGGCTGTGGCATCCGCCGCCGCTTCCTTCCGCCGCTGGACTGCATCGAGCGATTCGTCGGCGACGCCCGCGGCCTGCTGGGCGTAAATCTCGCGCCACCGTCATCGTCATCGTCCTCGCAGGGGAGTGGTTGGGCCGCGACGACGACGCGGTGGACCCTGACTCCCGGGTCGTGGGCGAACCGGTCCCGTCCGCGCGCGTTGGTGCTAGATGTGCATTTGTCGCGGATCAATGCTATCCCCGTGCTGGCGCGTGGGGGTGGGAGGAAGGTCGAGCGAGGGGTCCGGGTGGGCAGCTCGCAGGAGGAGAATGCGAGGTTGTTGTTCACGGCGCGGAGGCGGAATTGGGAGGCTTAACTTCTTCTTCTCGCTCTCTCTCTCTCTCTCTCTCATACACACACACACACACACATTCTGTTCCCCCACTTCTCTACTTGGTATACATGGCGATCACAACGGTTGTTTTCTGGGTTCATGGTTTGGATTGTGGAAGTTGGTTTTTGTTTTGATAGAAAGTGGGTGTGTACAGTTTTCTGTATATACTTCGGGATTGGACGTTTTTATTTGGGCGGAAAGGGGATGTTGCGCATCGCGCCGGCCCGATTTTGGGATATATGGTTGGGGTCTTGGCTGGGTGTACCTCAATGCACTAAGTTGGGTACAGGGCGGGGACCATACGACGGTGTATATGACGGTGTATATACTCATAGACTAGAAGCCGAGAAAGAAACTTAGAATCAAGGACATGCCAATCTGTAGCAGGCAGACTAAAAGCACAAACGAAGGACTGACTGCCCAGGTTCAATGCGCCGCTCTGACCCTCTCTGTGCGCCGAGATACATCTATCTACATATGCCAATTCTGTACCGGCACCCACAAGATTGATAGTACATCTTATTCGTCTATTGCAACATTTGACTAATTTCGGATAGATAGGTCTGATAGATAGGTGATTATGCTTCTGGTAATGTGCCACAGGATAAATGCAAAGGAAAGACCGGTAACAGCATGATTTTCAGGGCGCTCAACTCCATGATCCATAGGTGCAATAGTGATGCCAACGAAAAAAAGAAGTGATGGTGCTAATGTATGTATAAGGACGAGAAGTGAAGGAAAGGTAGATTATTTGGTAAATGTCCAGGAGAAAGATATGTGAAGTGGAACGCGGAGATGATAACGGAAACGTGGAAACAGCATGGCGGAGTGTACGCCCTCAAGGCAGCACAACCAAAGGAATGTGCAATATTTGGTAGCTCTTATTTGTATCTGCCTTCAGCTGCAGGTTACCACGTTCCTGGGCGGATGTTTCACGAAGCTGCAGTGCTTTACCAGTGATCTGGAACAATTTGGAGGCTAGCGGATTGAGGGAGTCCAAAGGAAGTGGCGGTTCAGGCATGGGAATGCCATTCTGCTGGTGCTCCTCCTCCTCGTCATCGTCGACCTCATCCAGTCCTTGACCACTCACTACGCTGAGGCGACGGGAGATAGGCGACACCAAAGCAAAATGAGGAACCGCTTCGTCATCATCTGATGAGTATGGACTCAATTGCTGCTGCTCTTCACCGTAGCCGGAGACGCCCGCACCAAACAAGTCCTTTCTTTGAGAGACCAGGTGCCACGGCTCTCCACACACGAATCCAGCCACGAAATCTTGATTGGCGCGGGCAGCAGCCACGCAACTTTGGCGGTAATCATTGGTGAAGGAACTGGCCGTGGAGGATGGTAGGCACAAGACTAGCCCACGAGCCATGAGTGGTGGGGGCGGGAAGTCCTCAGGGATTGTCGCGGGGCTCAAGGACCGGAATTCAAAACCACGTCGCTCATATTGGGGAGATTCCAAAGGTAACTCGGTGGAGTCTTCGGTATGTTGAGTGATGGTCTGAGTCAAAGAAATGGTGGAAGCTTTGCGAGGAGGAAGGTCGAGGCCGCTAGTGTTGTCAACGGCATACTCGGAGAGGTGCTGCGATGTCGCATTTGCGTCATGGTCGCTGAAAGAGTGATTGTTGGCGTTGTTGTCTGCTGTGATCTCGGTGCGAATGGTCTGCGCTGCATCTGCTACTGCCTCGCGGGCGGCCGCCTTCAAAGTGGGAATCAAAATGTCGGCTTCCTGGTTATACACAGCCACGCCGGAAGCCCACGCCGTTGAAAGGCCAGCCCACGAGGCCGGCTTGATGATACCTTTCGTATACTTCTTGCGAATCATGTCAACGGTCTCATTCCGCACCTCTCTCGTCTCTGCTTTCTGTCCACCAACAATGTCCACAGTAGAATTCAGGATCCGACCACCCTCCCAGATCAGGAAGCCATGTCTCCTCGCCAGGGCAACCAATTGGCGCGCCGTCTCCTCCGACCAGTCATCAATGATGTCTGCATAAACTTGTAGAATAGCAATATGCGGGCCAACTAAAGTGGCTAAGTGCAGGAGAGTGTCGGTGTTGGTGACGGTGTGCGAAGGCGAGACGCAAACGGGAAGTCCGTAAGGTAGATATGACTTGGACTTTACCAAGGTCTCCAGATAGGCGACGATCCGATTGCCCGGATATGAAGGAGATTCCAAAGACGAGTCCATCATTGCTGGTGAAATCGGAGGGAGAGAAGAAAGGTGGTTTTGGTTGTGTTGTACTGTACGGTAAGGGGAAGTGACGGGTGGGGAGATGATATATAGACAGCAAACAACGGAAGAGACAGATAGATCAACTGTCAACAGATAGACAGACAGTCAGTCAGTCAGTCAGTCAGTCACCACTATTTCAATTGGGTCGTACAGGAGGGCGGAGACGGGAGAAGAAAGAGGGAAGAAGGGGAGGAGGAGACAGAGAAGGAGGAGGAGGAGGAGGAGGGGAGAGAATGACAAGACGGGGAGAAGAGGAGGAAGAGGAATAGGTTAAGGTTAAATTGGCAGTGCCTTTGTTTTTTTGCCTTGCCTTGAACTTTCAGTCAGGCTCAGGGAGCTGGGCCAACTTCCGGAGTCGTCGTAGCTTGGTTGTTCCCGTTGAGCTACGGAAGAAGAGCTTCGGGGCTAAAGGTGCCTCCAACCCACTCGAGTCCCTTGACTGGTCGACTTGGTCGAGACAAAATGATTGACAATCGAGTCCGATCCCCACTTGGCCTGCCAATGACCAGACTAGACTAACGAGTAACGAGTAGTCACTCGACATGATCAGTCGACAGGGGTTGGGGGGGACCTTTTTTCTCTCTACTAATTTTCACCAATTTTTGTTTTATTTTTTTTATTTACTGGTGTGATCGGATAATGGCTCAGATCTCAAACCATTATTACTAGGTATGTGGTGGTGGTTGACAGAAACACAACCGTGCATCGGTAGGCAAAGGTACTGCACAACAAGAAAAATGAAAGAGACAGGATGAAATTAAAGGCTGGACTATGCAGGAAGCCACAATCCTCTCAGCTGCAGCCATGAATCTACTGCATGTACTCCGTACAGTATCGATGTACAGTACTAAGACTATGTACTATGTATGCATGAATGGGTCAATGGATCAATAGGTAAATGGGTGAATGAGTAATGGAGTGAACAGAAGACTGGCCTGAAGGAGTATGAATGGAGGAGGAGAGGGGGAAAGTGGAGGATGGAGGATGGAGGGGAGAAAGAATGGAAATGAGGGGATTGTCACCACTTCGTACCAAGTACTCGTACTCATACAGACTACAGTAGGTCCTCTGCTCTTCCTTCTTTTCCCCGTCTGTCCGGTACCGGATGGGAGTAGGTTGGAGAGAAGCTTTCTTAGGTTTGGCCACCTAATACTCCGGACTCTGTACTGTACTGTACAGCCAGAGTTATGCTGCCATGTTGAGTACTGTACCACTCAATCACATTCAGGTCTTGACTCTTGACTGATTTTTCTGAATTCTGAAGTCCAAGTCCTCTTTTTGACTTCTCAACCCCGATTCTCAACTTAGCAACAATCCACTACATACAGTACACCTGTAGTTAGTCTAGCACATACGGTAAAGTGCAGTGGAGTCCTGCATTGCCCCATCATCACTGGGGGGGCCCCAACCCGCTTTGTCGGAACGAGCGATCCGACTGGGTGGAAATATGCGTCGCTACGATTTCCCATATCCAATCTCAATCTCGCATTCTCTCTCCCACCCCCCAATACTTGCTTGTACTGAGCATCTGGACTCCCCCGTCTACTCAGTAGAAGTCCTAAACTCTTCTTGAGCCTACTTTACCTTTTTCACTCCATCGCTTGTTGCTGCTGCCCCCTTCCCTTCCCCTTAGGAGGAGCCTGCAATTTCCCTCCAGGCTCTCTATTCCACATCGCCCACACATCACCCACTTCCTCTCATTTGCTCCCCGGGTCTCCCATGGATTGAATTCAACATCCCGCCCCCGTCGCCAACAATTTCCTTGGTTGAGCTTGAAGACTACTTGAGAAGTACCGTAGGACAATGATAGTCGATCGAAACTTGGTATCCACTGAACAGACCTTACTCGGCCTACTCTACCTTGACAACCGGTCATCTGCGAGCAATCCTCTCTAGCTTCACCTTGGCGGTCGATCCTACCGTACAAGCCGGGGAAGAAGAGAGCCTCGTTCATGTTGTCAACGAACAACCCATCATGACAGGACAGGATCCATCTTTCCCGGAATCCAGGATTCCCTGTCATACCCTTCCTGCTCCTCGACCTGGTAGAGCTCAGAGCCCCCAGTGCCCCATGATCCATCAATTGCCGGGATTTATTATGATGAGTCCTAGTGTCCTCGATCTGTCTGAGCGCTCACTCATTCCAGTCAGACGCTTTGACAATTTCCAAGGCCATGGTGCAGGTTCCTGGACGAAACATGCATAGCCTTATAGATCAAACGCATGAAAGCGACCAGGATGCGCTCGCTCTAATCTCTATAGTCTAGTCCCTCGGCAACTTCGAACGCCCCAATATCGGATGGTTGACTAGGCTAATAATTCTGACGCCTAGTTAGTTCGTACGGTCCTTTTTTCGTCGGTCGGAAGCTGATGCTTACGGATACACTGGCCGAGACTGGTCCGGTAAACTGGGGCGAGGGGAGAGGCTGTCGATCAGCCCATCTTCCGGGATTGTTTCACGGATGCGCCCTTGCCCCCCTCAAGACGTAAGGATCGTGATGGTGAACTTCGCTGTTTGCTTTCGCACTGCAGCAAGCAGATAAACGACCTCCCGCGGGACAATATTCCGTATCTTGCACAGATTGGGTTATGCTAGAGAGCTCGAGCAGTCGCTTGTTGTGCTCTGGCCTCCATCGGAACATGTAATGTGCTGTGCTGTACTTTTTGCGATCGCACCGCACCGCACCGCACCGCACCCTATCCGATAAGCTATAGGATCAGTCTAACGGTTCTAAATTAACACCATTAGCTCCAGGTCATTCATACCGTTCGCCTTGGATGTTAACTTAGCTTCCGATGCTGTTCCGAATAAGGTAGATCATTGCTTCGTAGTACTATTATTTGAGCGGCGGGACAAACTAGGAGACTTTAAACATTGAATAATGAACATTGACTTTTGCTCTCCGCAAACATGCACACCTTCAGGCCAGCTGCTACTCGAGTATGTTATGTACTGTACAGTACTGTAGATGGCAGTCAGTCGACGGCTGAGACGGCCCGCTGGCTGATGCTGGCTTGTTGTTGCTGCCTCAGGCAAAAGAATCAGGCATAGAGCAGGGCACAATTCAGGGGCAGCGCCCGAAGAAGATTAGTGCCACCCTGCATTATTGTTCCCGACTTTGATTTGGGTCTGCCGCCGAGCGCTGGAATCCTCCTAATCTCATACCCTGTGAAAGAAACGAGAGCCAGTATCTTTCTTTCCAAATCCCGTCTTTCTCTACTCCGTTGCGATACGGTTCCGGTGTTGTATAGCTTTGGTGATTGCGTGGTTGTCGCCGCACTTGCCATTGGACTCACCTTCAGGAATTTTCTCTCCCCCGGAGTCTCGGACCCGTCGCCGTGGCCGATATTTCGACGCTCACGCCACTCACTTCACCATCCTTTTATTAACGGTTCCCACCGCGATTCCCCGCTACTCGTCCAACGGCGTTCGTCGCATTTGCAGTGTCTGTGGTTACCCTTCTTCGCCCACTTGCAGCATCTTTGCCTCAGTCCCTTCGGGTATCTAGCTAGCTGTACATCCGCCATGCCTGGAAAAGTACTCCCCGTGTTCACCCCGGCCGAGATCGAACTCCATAACAACGCCAAGTCATGCTATGTGACGCTGGGATCCAAAGTCTACGATGTCACTGAGTTTGTGGACGGTCACCCCGGGGGTGAGGACCTCGTCCTGGAGTATGCCGGCAAAGACGTAACCGAGATCTTGCGCGACGAGTCATCCCACGTCCACTCCGACTCGGCTTATGAAATACTGGAGGAGTGTCAAATCGGCTTCGTGGCTTCTGAATTCAATGGGAAGGCCCGAACGGTTGATGCATCACAAACACAACAAGTGGCGAATGGTTCTGGAGCAGTCTATGCCACGACTGGGATGTCCTGTGAAGAAGACCTGTCCGTCGATACCGATTACACCCAAGACTTCCAGACGCACAAGTTCCTCGACCTCAACCAGCCCCTTCTGAAACAGCTGTGGTTTAGTGGCTTCAGCAAAGAATTCTATCTTGAACAGATTCACCGCCCGCGTCACTACAAGGGAGGGGAGTCTGCGCCCTTGTTCGGCAATTTCCTGGAGCCACTCAGCAAGACGGCATGGTATGTCGTCCCCATCATGTGGCTCCCTCCTGTCGCCTACGGCACCTTTGTTGGATTTTCCGGGCTTGCGAATGCGCCTGCTGCTGCTGGTTACTGGGTCGGGGGGCTCTTCCTCTGGACCTTAATCGAGTATCTGATGCATCGATTCCTGTTCCACATTGATCAGTATGTCTATCCCAGAAGGCACACGCTTATTTCTGTACATCCCCGCTAATTCATGCAGCTATCTTCCCGATAATCGTGTTGGGCTAACTCTCCACTTCTTGCTCCACGGTATTCATCACTACTTGCCGATGGACAAGTATCGCTTGGTCATGCCCCCAACTCTTTTTGTTGTATTGGCAACGCCATTCTGGAAGCTTGCTCATGCTGTCTTCTTCTACAATTGGTACGCTGCTTTGACAGTGTACTGTGGCGGTATTTTCGGCTACATCTGCTACGACATGACCCACTACTTCCTTCATCACCGCAAGTGAGTAGACCGACCTCCTTTTGTGACTTGGACTGTTTCGCTGATCGTTCATTTCCTTAGTCTTCCCATGTACTACAAGCAACTCAAGAAGTATCACCTTCAACACCACTTCGCAGACTTTGACAATGGCTTTGGTGTCACCAGCCGCTTCTGGGATCAGGTATTTGGCACGGAGCTGGAGACTCCCGCCCCCAAGGGTGCGAAGGCCCAGTGAATAAGCCAATGGTATACTCTAGAGTGGCTGGCCCTCTTCATGGGCCTTGACATGAGCTTATTGCGCCTTTTATTGATTCTGTGACATACGAAGTAATGCCGTGGTCGTGTATTGTCCTTAATGTCGCTGTGCTCAGGAGTTGGTTCACTTCTTGATTATTCGTCATTTTCTTCGTGTACAGGTTTGCCATGGACCAGAGCAACGGAAAACGTCTTTTGTAAGGCGAATGACCATGACTCGTAGGTCGATAGGCGGTGGTATTATTACATAGATTTTGTACGATTGTATATGATAACCTAATACATAATATTCCTCTTCAATTCTCATTTACTCTATAAATTCAGCCCAAATAGGCTTTAAGCACGTTAGGGAGATTCCTTAACACTTATCACGGACATACAGTAGACTATAACATGTCTCTTTCATGTCATCCATGGCTCACTCCTAACACGAAAAAAAGTCAAACGGGCGGCGATTGCCAAGTCTCACGTGACTGGCCGACATCAGCCAGCGGAATACCGATGGGTGTCTTTGCCTCTCAACCTTATCATCAACATCATCAACATCGCAACCCCGATCGTACTGCTTTCCTGCGAGCTACAACCTCTGAGTGGCTCATAATCGACTGAAGTTCTATCGCACTAGAAGCAGATCTCATCTGCAAGGATCTGTGATTACAAATAGAAGGGTTCGCTCAAGCCACGGCCGGTACACCTGTCGCGCATCTAACGAAAGTCGAAAGTGACCTCAATCCTTTCCGCACGGTCTTCCACTCCTCCCAAGCCGTTTTCTATCAGATCACACCCAGGAAAAAACACACTCGCGGGAAAGCCAGAAATCCTATACCTTCAAAAAAAGATGTCAGGCCTTGACGTTGAAGCTCTCCTCGAGTCTACGGCTGCCCCGACGCCGCAAGAACAACCCCCCCGTTCCCAGGACCACGATGACCGCTCCACCAAGGGCGAGAGCAGTGAGCGTCGCGACCGCGACCGCTCGCGTGAGAACAAGGATCGCAAGCGGCGGGATCGCAGCCGCGGCGGCGACCGACGTCGGTCGCGCGATGGAGACGGAGACGAAGAAATGAAGAGCCCGAGAAGCGAACATGGCAGTGCTAACGGAAGCCATAGAAGTAGAAAGAGGAGCAAGAGCCGGGACAGTGACCGCCGTCGCTCTCGCCGTGACCGGGACCGTCACGGCGATGATTACCGCTCCTCCGGCGGCGATTTCTACCGCGGTGGCGGTCGGGCTCGCACCCGGTCGAGATCCCCTTATGATGATCGGTACTACCGTCCCTCTGGCCGTTCCCGTCATGACGACCGGGACGAGGACAGACGGCCTTCACGCCGCGAGCGAGAGGGTGGCCGCAGACGCAGCCCCAGCGCGAGAAGCCGTGAGCGTACGCCCGAATTGAACGAAGATGAACGTGATAGACGCACTATCTTCGTGCAGCAGCTTGCCGCTCGACTGAGGACGAAAGAACTTATCGCCTTTTTTGAGAAGGTTGGTCCTGTCAAGGAGGCCCAGATTGTCAAGGATCGTGTTAGTGGGCGGTCCAAAGGGTAAGAAGTCATGCCTCAGGCTTTGTGCGCACTAGGCAAGATGCTAACCCCCCACGCCTATTAGTGTCGGTTATGTCGAGTTCAAGAACGAAGACTCCGTTGCGCCTGCTATTCAGCTTACAGGACAGAAACTTTTAGGAATTCCGATCATCGCACAGTTGACTGAAGCGGAAAAGAACCGTCAGGCTCGTAATCCCGAAGCCAGCAGTAGCAACAACCACGCCGCCCCCTTTCACAGGTTGTACGTGGGTAATATCCATTTCAGTATCACTGAAAGTGACCTCCAGAATGTCTTTGAGCCGTTTGGTGAACTCGAGTTCGTTCAGCTGCAGAAGGACGAGACTGGTAGGAGCCGAGGTTATGGTTTCGTGCAGTAAGTGACCCCGAACGGTCTGGAAAAACCGGCTTGCTAATCCTTCTACTACTCAGGTTCCGTGACCCCAACCAGGCTCGCGAAGCCCTCGAGAAGATGAATGGCTTTGATCTTGCTGGTCGAGCCATCCGCGTTGGCCTTGGCAACGATAAGTTCACCCCTGATTCGAACGCACAACGCATGCAGGGCCAAGGTGCAAACCAACATAACTTCCAGGGCTCGCTGTTTTCGGGTCACGGTGGACGTGGTGTTCAAGCTGGCGGCACAAACAACTTCGACCGTGCTGGAGGCCGGGATTCAGAAAAGGGAGCCGGTGCAAGTGCTCTGGATGACACAGATGTTGCCGGTGTGAACTTCAACAACTACAGTAGGGATGCATTGATGAGGAAGCTTGCAAGAACAGATGAACCCTCTGAGCCAGCTGCCGATGACCAGCAGAAAGTTCTCCGGCCTAAGACTGAAGCCAAGCCGCTACCTGTTAATGTCAGCATGGCCAGTCGATGTGTCATGTTGCGCAACATGTTTGACCCCAATGAGTAAGTGCTCAGAACCTAGCTTGTCGACCAGCCTGCTAACTATTTCTATAGGGAGGAGGGCGACGTCTGGGTGAAAGAACTGGAGGATGACGTCCGCGCTGAGTGCGAAGAAAAATATGGTCATGTCGTTCACATTTCACTAGATCCCAACTCTCAAGGCGACATTTACCTGAAATTCGATCGAGTGCAGGGCGGGGAGAATGCTATCAAGGGTCTCAACGGACGTTTCTTCGGTGGCCGACAGATTACCGCGCAACCCGTCGTCGATGCTGTCTACAGCAGTTTGTTCTCCCGAACGAAGGCCATTTAAAGAAAAACCCTCGAGGCCACACATCTTCCATGCATATCTACCATCATTCAGATATGCGGGTAGGTACTCTGATCTAATAATTACACCAGGTGCAACTTGTGACGGCAGGTCCACACTTTCAACCTCACTTTCAACCTTGAAATGGAACTGTTGAGCTTCGCTTCGAATGGTGCTTGGCTTGGAATGACACTGCCCCTGGTAGGTGCCAGTCTCTGAAAATCTTGCTCTTCACAGTTTATACTCCAAGCCAGAGGCTTGTTGCGGAAATGATTTTGTCTCTAGGGATTTGTATATTGCGTTAGCGCCCAACAAAATCTGTAACTCTTATTCTTTATCCAAGCCCACCTTGTAGGTTCTGTCAGTGCAATGCTTAGAGCGCTGTAAGCGACGAGATACAACGCAAGGGTCTATGCTCCACAGGCACAAAACTTCCCGTGTACTCATGTTCACTACGTCTCCTGGATCAAGAGATGGCAACCCATTTCCGGCTGGGTGCGGTCGACTAGCCAGACCGGCAACAGTTCCAAAGCCTCCGTCCGTCACCACCCGGAGATACTTGGTGAAGTGGCACTGGCAAGTGGTCCGCGTGTGGACGTCGCTGACATCTTTTTTCGACATGCTCTATCCGCAGTGCAACGCCGTTTCCATGCCGATGGCAATAGTGCGATTTCACAACCACAGTGAAGGCTGCGAGGGCGGTCGTCATATTCAGCTCATCGTCTTGCCGGTGCATCCTCTCGAGCCACTTTATCAGCCGTTGGATTCGGGCTTCGAGAACCAGGTGCGAGTCCATCATGGATTGCTTCTAGAAGAGTTGGTTGGGCAACGTGTGCCGGTACCGGTGCTGATGAATTTTCTCGGTGAAGAGCATGGAATCTGGGCCCCAAAAGGACCGAGCCTGACGGGTGTCTTTCTCTTGAGCAAGCTAATAGGCATAGATGGTTGCTTGGAGGTGGTATCCCCCTTACGACTAGCAGGCAGGGGTGTTTCCCGCCTATGCGTGCGACGCAATCGGCGGTCAACTCATTCTTCTCTGCATAGTGATATATTTCAGATCGACAAGACTCATGTTTTTTTTATTGTTCGCTGGTGCCTACTATATCCACTACACTCCATGTGCATACCACAATGGTGAAGACATGGTATAACTGAAAAAATGGAATCATGTAGAGATACAATCTTGTTCTACTCATTCTATAGTTCAATTATTCGGTTATGCTGGGTTGCTTAATAAGCTAAACGCAGCACAAGGGTTGTTAGAAGTACAGTCCTAAGTAGAGAACATGATTCGAATCTCGAAGGATCCCTGTTCAATTGTAGAGCTGCACTCATTGAGCACTGATTGCGACTTCCTGGGCCTCGAATTGAGTGGGGATCAATATAGAAACACATATTCAGTATTGCCGCTGCTGATTCCCGATAACTTCGTTTCCGTTGCAAGTTTCAATTCCCGAACCCCCCAGACGTTAATCCGCCCGCCCACTCGCTCCCCCATCATCATCCTTCCCCCGCGAATTCCGATTGCCTACCCATCTCTTCTTGACTTCAATCTCTTCTCCTCATCCTCCAAAGTCATTCTCCCAGCATTTGTTGTTTGTTCTTGACTGCCAATGCTCTGTCATTCATGATTGTGAATTCGGCCAAGCGAGTCTCTGTCCGAGCCCGGACTTTGGCCGACAGTTATCGTAGGTTGCGCTGTTCTCTCTTTGCTCCCCATCTTTCCCTTATCTCCGAATGGCAATTCACATCTTCCACAAAGCCGGTGCCTCAGTGCCATTAATAACCATCTCTTCGCGCACTAACCTGTTCTTATATGTTTAGGTCTCCCGGGAATCTCTCGCCGTCGATATTCGAGTCCCTGTGTCTCCGTGACTGAGACTAAGCGACCCGAATTTCACGACTACTTCGTCACTCGCCTGCCATCGTCATCGCTACACCCCGACCCTCGAGGCCCGTTCACCCCTTTCCATAAATTGCCTCGCGCCGCGTCGGTGCCTCATACTGGCGACTCGACCCATTCCCCTACCACTATTCAACCTTTGGTCGATCGGGATACCACTGTCGTTCGCATTCCGCTTCGCAATGCGAAGCACCACTTTGGCGCCCACACATCACGGGGCACGCGGCCGTCCAACGAGGACACATATCAAGCCGGAGTCATCGACATTCCTGCGTTTGCGAAGCGACCACCAGCATCCTTGACAATCAAGAAGTTAGCCGCAGGCAATTCTGATTCTACACCCCGTGAAAACCGTGGTGCCGACAATGCGAATGGAGACCCACAAGTGTTTTACTTTGGCATCTTTGACGGTCATGGCGGAACAGAATGCAGCAACTTTTTGAAAGACACACTGCATGAGGCCATTCAAGATACCGCAGCCGCGTTTGAGCTCCAATCCAGTCTGCGGCGTGGGCCCCAAGGGCAGATACCCAGAGGCGCGGACCCGTCCTCTGGCGAATTGCCAATCTTCCAAAGAGGCAATTGCGAACGCGCCACCAAGCTTGAGAAGATCTTATTGCAGAACTGGAGGACCCTCGTCGGAGGCTATTTCAAGCGGTTCTCTCCCGCTCACTTTGCGCACACGCGCAGGGAGAGTTCTTCGGGTGTCACCATCGAGGAGATCTTGGAATACGCCTTTCTGCGGACTGATCTGGAATTTGTTTCGGCGCAAGCCGCCAAGCAAGATGACGATCCCGCGCGTGTCAGCCAACCCATGTATCAAGATGATATCTTGTACGGACCTGAAAACGGTCCGGCGCTGAACGTTGGTGGTACCAATCGCTTCAAGGGCGGAAGTACAGCGAGTGTGGCCCTCATCTCCACACCCACGCCAGCTCCTTTCTGGCATCCAGGAGCCCCGTCTAGTCTCCTTGTATCACACGTTGGAGATACTCGCATCCTATTGTGCTCGACTGAAACTGGCCAGGCGATTCCCCTAACATCCAACCATCATCCCTCCTCGCCGATTGAGGCCAGCCGGCTCCGTCGTTATGCCACCACCTTCGTCACGGATTCTTTCGGAGAGGAGCGCATGAGTGGGCTGGCAAATACGCGAGCATTTGGCGATATGCAATCCAAACGCATTGGCGTGTCGGCCGAGCCCGAAATTCGTCGGGTGGAAATGGGCCCAGCTGAATTTTCCTTCTTGGTGCTCATGTCGGACGGCATCAGCGGCACGCTACCAGATCAGGAAGTCGTAGATATCATCAAGGAAGCCAAGACGCCAGATCAGGGAGCTAGTGATGTTGTTAGCTTCGCAACTGAAGTGACGCGCGACGGGGATAACGCCACCTGCCTGGTTGTTCGCTTAGGCGGCTGGGAACGCCGGCTGGAGGGTGGATTAGGCAGTATGGGCACGAAGGAGGCGCGCGATTGGCGGCGACAAGAGGCAACCGATCCTCGGCGGTCTCGACGATGATGATGACAATGCTAGAATCTGATAGAGCGAAGGAAGAGGTGGTTCTTTCTGTATATAGTTTCACATCCTGATCCGTGCACTTCTGGTGTCGAGTCGGACCGACTGATCCGAAGGGCGGAATTTCTGTTATTGCTGCATCTTGTACATACACACGCAGAACATGATCATACTATTTGTTTCTCTATTTCCCTCTCGAGCCTCATCTATGCGACCTGTGTACCATCCAGACCGCAATGGAAGAACGTCTCCCTAGAATAGAACACTGAAGCCGCGCCCGGAGCGGAAAGGAATGCTTGTAGCCGCAAGCAGCATCAGAAGCTTGCGAGGTACAAATGCCTATCTCCTCAATGATTGACTTGTGGTAATTATTTTCTATGAATGCGAATGAGCTCAATGCAGCTCCCAGAACTGCCTACTGGTCTTCCAGGTGTTTGAGGTCGAAGCCTAGCTGTAAATTGACGGTCGCAACCGCTTATCACCGCAGCTTATCGACCGCGCTCACTCGGACAGCCAAGCAATAATCAGAGCGGCGGCGACCCGACTACTCACCTCATCGACCCTCTCCTGAACCAACAGCTTTCCCCTCAACCCTCCACTCTTTCCCCTTTACGCTGCCTTCTTTGTGCGCCTTTGCTTTCTAGGGTGCTGCTGCTGCTTCCTAAGCTTAACTCATATTCATCACACTCTGGAGCAGTCTCTTTCCTCGCCAAACGCAACTTTCAAAAGCGCGTCAGGAAAATAAACCGGTACGTTTGCTTCAGAGCTTTAATTCAGGAGATCAATATATGCACGAGCTTCCGGATCCATCCTTCCCCAACCTAATATTTCGGAATTTATTGTTGTTCATTTGAGATCACTGCCTGGTACCCTACTAATATTTTTTTCTGAATCATCCAGTCGTTGTCCCAGTATCTCGTCCTATATTCATTATCTCCAGCTATCGATCGCTGGGTGTACCTTGTGGAAACTCCCGGAACAAGCCCCTCTCGGTCTTATACCTTCGTCCATCCATCAGATTCATTCTCCTTAGCTTCCTCCACATAATCAACCTCAGAGTGAAAATGAGCCCTCGCACCAGAAGCCAGAAGGCCTCCGCTGAGCTGGAAGCCACGGATCCATCACCCGCCGTCAATGGAACGCTCCAGCCTTCATCGAAAAATGGCCCGGAAGCTGCCGCGGATGGAGAAGTGCAAGAAAACGTCTTCCTATTCGCGCCGAACTTGATTGGTGAGAGATACATGTCCTCCGTGGAAAAATACTAGTTTTTGGGTCTAACACATGGCGCGGAACCTAGGCTATGCGCGTGTGGTGTTGACAATGGCTTCGCTTTACTACATGCCCCTGCATCCACGGACATGTTCCCTCCTTTACAGTGTGTCCTGTTTGTTGGATGCCCTAGACGGATATGCGGCACGATACTTCAACCAGTCGACTACCTTCGGTGCCGTTCTGGACATGGTGACGGATCGGTGCACAACGGCGTGTCTGCTGGTGTTCCTCAGCTCGGCTTGGCCCCGGTGGTCGATCGTCTTCCAGAGTCTGATTGCGTTGGATATGGCCAGTCACTACATGCACATGTATGCGACGCTCAGCATGGGAGGCTCCAGCCAGAGCCACAAGAAGGTCGACTCCAGCCGCAGCTGGGTCCTGTACCAGTACTACCACAGTCGGGTGAGTTTCTTCCGGTATCTCTACGTCCAGGTCAGCATACTAATATGGTGCGCAGACGGTCCTGTTCATTTGCTGCGCTCTCAATGAGCTGTTCTTCATCGGCCTCTACTTGCTCTCCTTCTCTTCGCCCACGCTCTCTCCTTCCCTGCTTCAACCCAAGGTTGGGGGCCCGGCTGGCGACACGACCATTCCCCCTCCGGAGGGGTACTCCAGCCCTTGGAGTGCAGGCGCCCTTGAGTTGGCTCGTGCAAACAAGATTGACAGCTTCTGGCCCTGGGTTATTACCGGAATCTCCTTCCCAGTCATGGCGCTCAAGCAGTTCATCAACGTCGTGCAGCTGGTCAAGGCCAGCAAGTGGCTGGCTGAAGGTGACATGGCCAGCCGGAAGGCTCTGCGGGCGGCCAAGAACAATTAAGGGCCGGTCATGCCGGGCGCCGATGGTGGTTTCGGGTGTTTCTTTTCTTCGAGTCAACTGTCGAGTCAACCGTTTCAATGCCTTCGAGCTCGCTTCTTCTCCGGATGCCTCCGGTCGGCCGGACGGCGGTCTTTGCTGGACCGGTCGTTTTATCTTTACTTTCTTCCGTGCATGGTTCTGGTGCTCTGGTCGGTTCTGTCAACTGGGGCCAATGGCCCGGGTGTCTTTCTGGTAATTTCCATATATGTATGTGGTGGGAGGAAATTGTGGCATATGAGTCTGTGGGGGGGACTATCTGTCTCTGGACAAAAGGGTGAATGATTCTCGGCGCATTGTTTACCTATTAACTATATCGTTTCTTTCCTATACTATGTTCTCCGCTGTGTTTCGCATTCATACAGCTCCTTCGAACCCGTGTCTACTTCCGCTATTAATATTATCACCTTTATCTTTGCCCTTGTGGCTTTCTCATTCCAAGTTCGGTCTGTTTATACCCCGGAGTAAAATTTACGGGCAGCGGCTCTCAAGCTTCTAGCCGGTCTCGGCTAGTGCCGGCAATGACTCCGGTGTCGGCGCGGGGGAGGCTTGCATTTCCCCCCCGCCAGATCGTATATTTATCCGCTCCTTTCTCATTCTCGCTATCTTTTGAATTCTAACATTCTGACTCAATATCCCCTCTCACTCCCTTCGTCTCCCATTCGTCATGTCTACTTTCAACATCGTCGTTTTTGCCGGTGACCACTGCGGTCCCGAGGTAAGAGCTGCCGTCCTGCAACCCCGCGCTAGGGAGTTCATAGACTGACGTATACGTACTTGACAGGTCACCGCTGAGGCCATCAAGGTGAGTCAACCAACCAACGCTGCAAACAGCTTCGTAACCTCCCAATGGGCCGTGGAAGCCAAGTACTCTTGCAATGCATGCTGACTTTCACTTCTGATCAGGTCCTTCGCGTCATTGAGAAGAAACGTGACGACATCACCCTCAACCTTCAGGATCATCTGCTGGGCGGTGTATGTGCGAACCCTTTGACGGGTGTTGATATAGCTTCTGACCTCAACATTAGGCTTCCATTGACGCCAGTGGCTCTCCCCTGACTGACGAGGCCCTGACCGCGGCCAAGAACGCCGATGCCGTGCTCCTGGGAGCTATCGGTGGCCCCGTACGTAACCCAGTCCGCGCGTCACCATCCATGCCGCCCATCGGCTAATATACTTATATCCTACAGAAATGGGGTACTGGCGCCGTCCGTCCCGAGCAGGGTCTCCTGAAGCTCCGCAAGGAAATGGGCACCTTCGGTAACCTGCGTCCCTGCAACTTCGCCGCTCCCTCGCTGGTCGACCACTCGCCGCTCAAGGCGGAGGTGTGCCGCGGCGTCGACTTCAACATCATCCGCGAGCTGACGGGCGGGATCTACTTCGGCGACCGCAAGGAGGACGACGGCAGCGGCTACGCCATGGACACGGAGCCCTACTCGCGCGCCGAGATCGAGCGCATCACCCGCCTGGCCGCCCACCTGGCCCTCCAGCACAACCCCCCTCTCCCCGTGTGGAGCTTGGACAAGGCCAACGTGCTGGCCACCAGCCGCCTGTGGCGCAAGACCGTCACCGAGGTCATGGCCAACGAGTTCCCCCAGCTCAAGATCGAGCACCAGCTGATCGACTCCGCCGCCATGATCATGGTCAAGAACCCCCGCCAGCTGAACGGCATCGTCGTCACCAGCAACCTCTTCGGTGACATCATCAGCGACGAGGCCAGTGTCATCCCCGGCTCCCTGGGTCTGTTGCCCAGTGCCAGTCTGAGCGGCATCCCCGACGGCAAGAGCCGTGTCAACGGTATCTACGAGCCCATCCACGGTATGTTGTCCCCTCCTCCGTTCGTGGACCCAGTGTTGGACCCCGATGCTAACGGTGCCCCCAAAGGCTCTGCCCCTGACATCGCCGGAAAGGGCATTGTCAACCCCGTCGCCGCCATCCTCTCGGTTGCTATGATGATGCAGTACTCCTTCGGCCGGTTCGACGAGGCCCGCGCCATCGAGGCCGCCGTTCGCAACGTGATCGAGTCCGGTCTCCGCACCGGCGACATCGGCGGCAAGGCTACCACCAGCGAAGTCGGCGATGCCGTCGCTGCTGAGTTGGAGAAGTTGTTGTAAAAGGCATAAAAGTTCTTTCTTTTGTTCTCAGCTGAGTTGTGTGTTTTGGGGGCAGCGAATGCCGAATGAGATATGACCATATTAATACCAAACTCTTTATATTCTTCCCCGCATATAGAGGATTATCGCATCGTAAAAAAAAAATAACAACAACAACATTCAAATAGACAGAATAGGGGTATCTACCGGCCAACTCCGACACAAATGCGATGCAATCGAACGCCCACCACCTACCAGCTACCTAATGACCGGCTCGCCCATCCAGTCCGGCTCCTCCAGACTGGTCACCACTCCTGTCACGGCGCGCTCAGCGTCAGCAATTGCATGTTCACGTCCTCCACCACCGGCTCCCTCAGCCATCTCATCATGCGTACTCCCCCGCAATGAGCGACGCGCACTGTGCCGCCGCACTCTGCCATCCGCCGACGCCGACGGGGCATTGGCCAGCCTCTTGCGCTCGTCATCGCGTGCAAAAACCTGGAAGCCACGGACATGAGTATCCTTGCCATTCTGATGATTCTCGGTCACCTTCATCTGAATGACCATGGCCTTGAGCACGTTCCCAGCGTACGGATCGTTCTCGTCGTCGTCATCTTCCTCGTCATCGTCGTCGTCCTCCTCATTCCGATAAGCCCTCGCATCTTCATACAGACTCTCCTCCGTGTCGTCCTGATCCATCATCACATCATCCTCATCCCCGTGGCCCACGTCCCTCCCTTTCCCCTTCCCCTTCCCCTTACCTACATAACTCGTAGCTCCTCTCCTACCCGCGACCCCCATCCCCTTCCGTTTCCCCCTCGCGCCCATCCCCTTCCTCCTCCTCCTACTCCCTCCACTCGGGACCTCCCCAAACGAATGCACCGTATTCCTCCCGCCGACCCCTTCCAACTCCACATCCACCCATCCGCAGGGCCCCTCACCCTCCCAGGTCGCGAACTCGACGAGATCATTGCCCCCCATGCCGGCGAGAAACACCATCTTGGTCGGGGTATAGCTCTCATCCATCTCGAAATCCAGGTACACGCGGATGCGCACCACGGCGACGAGCTTGAAGAAGTGCAGGGTCAGGGTGTGGGGTTGCGGGCCGTCGGACTGCCAGTACTGGGTCGGGGACGGGTGGCGGAGGGCGCTGACGCCGCAGCCCGGCTTGTGGGTGGAGACGGTCCACGAGGCGAGGGAGGAGATCTCGCGGAGGTTGGCGGGCAGCGGGGTGGGGGATTTATCTAGATGCGTTGTTTCGTCGTTAGTGATGCATTCAGCTTTCGAAAACAGGGGGAAGGGGGAGAGGGGGGGGGAGGTTGTAGATATAGTTTGAAGTGGAATTGGAGAGGGGCGGAAAAGAAAAAAAAAAAGAAGAGCTTACCTCTCTCGCCTAACATCTCCTCATCACCATCTTCGACATCCGGATCCGCGAGCATATCCTCATCCTCTTCTTCTTCTTCTTCTTCTTCTTCTTCTTCTTCTTCTCCTTCCTCTTCAAGCACTTCTTCTTCCTCCTCTTCGGCCTCGAATTCCCCTCCGTCATCCGCGGCATGAAGACCGAGTCTCTCGTCGTCTTCGTCCACGTCTCCCTCCGAATCAGGACCGGTCTCGCCTACACCATGATGTTGGCGATGACCGTGACGGAGATGTCGATGGGAAGAGGGATACCGATGCTGCTGCATTGAATCATCGAGGTCCTCGTCCTCGTCCTCGTCCTCGTCTTCTTCCTCGTCGTCCTCCTCCTCATCCCGCTCCATCCGGTCGTGCGGCGGGTGTCGGTGCCGTGGATCCCCGTGGCCCCGGCCGTGGACCCCGCGTCCGAATAGCGAGAACAATGCGACTTGTGCGGCGGAGGCGGCAGGATGTTGTTGGCGCTGCTGCTGCTGCTGCTGCTGCGCTTGTTGGGCTTGCTGGTGACTATGCAGCGGGTGGGTTGGGTCGTCTATGGGTCCCGAGGAGGGGTGAAGGCGGGGGATGGGAAAGCCGCGCGAGGGGGGAGTCTGGAACTGGGAGGTGGGGGTTTCATGGTGGCTTTGGCCGAGACGGGCGCGGTTGATCCGTTGAGGCGCTGGAGGTGGTTGCTGTTGTTGTTGCTGTTGATATTGAAGGTCCGATGGGGAGGACGTGTCGGGTTGGTGGTGGTTGCGGCGGAGGATATGGTGGTGGCGCGGCATGGTGAGAGTGCCCTTGAGCTAGTTTGTCTGACTTGTGTGGTATAGAGTATCGATTATTGTAGAGCCATGATCCCAAGCTGACTGACTCGGTGGTTAATTGCTATTGTTTTGATTTATGGACTCGAGGGGAGAAAAGGTGAAGCTGCGATGGGGACCGCGTCTGTTATCAATCACGTGTTGGCTTATCGGTTATCGCAATGCGCGATAAGTTAGCCCGGCAATTGTCGTCCCGCATCAACACGTTGGTCAATTCGAGTAATGAACTTGTGACACAAATTAAACCTCAGCAAATGATGAGGATGGTCTGCAACTCAGTTTGATGCTGACAGGGTGCATGGGAAGCCCCGTGTCTACGGAATCTTTTACTATATTAGTTCTCCTGGTCGTGTTTCGGAGGAAGTCCTCAGCTTTGAGATAGAATATATTCTATGAGCTCGCGGGGACGGTGGCCCGACGAAGTATTCTCGCTATTCAGCAAATGTAGTACTATAATACAGAAACAATTAGAAGCGACTTAGTCTAATTTTGAATGTCCACATATCCGATCTTCTCGCCCATCTTGATCCGCTGTCCCTTTTCGATGGTCCAGTTCCAACCTCCCTCGCGTTTGCCCTCTTCCCAGCCGGCATCGAACGACTTGCGAGTGCCCATGGGGGCTTCAAACACCAGCACGATCGAACTTCCCAGCTGGAAGCCTCCCATCTCCTCACCACGCTGAAGAGGATGTCCTCCCAGGGTGCGACTGGCATGGCGGTATGTCGCTTCAACAAATCCTGGGTATTGCTCGCCGCGCGCTGCGGCTTCTGCAGCGGCTTTGTCGGCAGCGGTATCCGTAGTCAGACTATTGGTACGCAGCTCCGCATCGAAGTTGACCTTGATCGAGCCCACGTTAGTCGCTCCCACAGGCGTATAACTGAAGAATCCCCAACGCCAACGACCCAATAGGGCGACACGCTCGTTGAGGGTAAAGAGACCCGGGAGATGGCGCTGAAGATATGGGGAAACCGAGAACAGTTCGCCAGCGAAATGACGGCGGCTCTCCACCACCCACGGCACAGGAGAGTGGAAACGGTGGTAGTCGCCAGGGGCCAAGTAAATGACAACATAGTAGAGCGCGTGGTTGGCCGCCGCCTTCGGGGCGTACCACGGAGTTCCATCGCCACGGGCCAAGTCCGCCTTCACCTCTTCTTCAGCATCAACCTTGGAAGTAGTAGACGCATCCATCGAGGCCGAGCGCTTCCGTGCGCCTCCCGGTTCGCCTGCGAGCAGAGTCGGTAGCGTATAGGAGATACCGTTCATTTCGGCAAATTCCTCATCAGCCAGCATCTTCGCCTCATTCTTCTGGGTCGGCTCGGTCTGATGGTCGCTGAAAGTCTTGGTGTGGTCCGCGTGGGTTGGAGTGGCAGAGCCCAGAAGGGCATCCAAACTGTAAGTAACGCCCTTGACCTGCTCGACCTCGCCCCGCTCAATGAGTCCGAATTGCAAGATTCGTCCATCGGATGGCGCGATGATAGCACGGATATCTGGATCCAAGGGTCGAACACCGGGTTTCAGCTGACGGTAGAAAAACGCAGCCAGGTTGGGATATGTGTGAAGGTCGGGTTCGGCGACCTCGTCAAGGTTGACGCCAAAGATCCAGGAGTACAACTTGAAGCCAGGAACACGGAAATAGTAGGGCAGTTCGATTTCATTGAAGCGACCCCAGAGTCGGGACATAGCTTTCAGGGGCAAGGTGGACATAATCTGGACCTGCCATGGTCCGCTGAGTCGATGTTTGGGACGAGCAGGAGCATTTTGGAAGTCGAAAGGCTCTCCAGCCGCCTCTCGTTCAGCTCGCTCTCTTTCAGCCCGCTGAGCCTTATAGAACTGCAGCAGGCCGAGCAGGCCGATACCTAGACCGACGGGGATGGGGTACCATTCGACTTTGGTGTTGCGGAGCGCGAAACGGAGTCGGGAGCCGAATGTGCTGCGACGAGACGAGTTTTGTTTTTGATCCTGATTCTGGGACTGTTTCCAGGTCTTGGAAAAGTGGCGAGCACCGGCCGGGCGACGACCAGTAGCCCTCAACGACACTTCCATCAATCCAGCCCTCTCCACATGAGGGGAAATCAACACCTTCCGGCGAAGCAGCGCAGAATAACTGGACAGGCACAGGGCCATAATGCGACTCTACTGGGTGGGAGTCATCCCAGAGGGGGGTAATAACCGAGGCGGAGGCACGTGAAAAAAACGAAAAAAATACGATTAACCGGCACAAGTAAGGTGTGGAATTGTGGAAATGGGGCTTATATGGCGAAGTGCAGAAGCAGCAATCCTCATTTCCTGAACGTGATCGGCAGGACGCATCTTCACCGCCCGGCAGAATGGGCCGTCGCCGCCATTTGTTTGGTGGCTCGTCTATAGTTACGGTCCTCATCTTGTCATCATCGTTATCCGCAATCTTTTGTTGTTGTTGTAGTTGTTTGGCTCTGCAGAGTTGAAGACATTCACTCTCCCATAAGTGGTACGCAAAACTGTGCATCATCTGAGTTGTCTTGTGGGTGCAAGCTAGACCCGTTGCCACTGAAAAGGACACCGTTGGCACCGGGACCTGGCCTGTACAGTACTGTACCTCCGCGGCGGAAGACAGATTGCCTTATCAAAGTGCTTCTCAAACCAATTTATCTGGCAGCGTGCTCGATGTGAAACCGCGCCACAACTCATGACTATGTGCCTGTGAATCTATCGATCTCTGAACAGGGCCAAAATTCCAGCATAAAAGATGGCCTCCACCACCGACATTCCAAGCGCATCATCGGACTCGCCCGAGAGCTTCACCTTGCATGTCTTGTGTCCATCATTACCTCCTCCCAATCGGTACACCATCCAAGATGTGTCCCCATCTACGACTGTTGCGAATCTGAAGGCTCGACTCGCAGGATCAATTCCGAGCCAGCCGTCTCCGGACAGCCAACGTTTGATCTATCGTGGAAAGCCACTTCTGAATGATGCGGCAGCGATGAGAGATGTACTGGAGCCGCCTAATGTAAGAGAACTTGATTCTTTGATTGTGCTTGCAGTCACTCTGTTATATCCTAGCTGACTGGCAATTCGTCAAGGCCACCGAATACTCCATCCATCTTGTTCTTCCTCCATCTCCTGAATCTTCGGCACCACGCAACCTCAGCTCTCCTGGTCCGCAACAACCACAATTCATTCCGGATTCAGCTATTCATCTTCCATCGATGACCCTGCGACCTGAACCATCCACATCCAGAGCTGAGCCAGAGCGCACAGGCGCGTCTGAAGCCGAGATTGGACTGGTCTTGCGACGTAACATTGAGATAATTCGCCGGCAGATCGAGATGCGGGACCGAGGCAACCCATCAGGAGGCACAACCGCCTTCTCGTCCAGCTTGAACCAAGCTCTTTCGGCCGCCCAGCAGCAGCGATCAATGTGGCCAGATCGATCGTCCTCAGTGTCTTCAACACGTCCAGAAATGCCACAGACATCCTCATCCGAGACAGTGGCAGCCACTGGTGTTTCAAACACAGCGTCCCTCCCTAGCGCCCTAATAATGGAAGAGTGCTTGCAGATATTGAGGCGTCAGGTGGAATTGGCAGAGAGCCAGCTGAATCACGGCATTGCGCCTCCGATGGAGCACATTATCAGAATCCGAACACATTTACTCACCATCCTGGATGAACAGTGTATGAACCCTCTTGCTGAACGCGACGGCTCAATCGAAGGGCTGCTGTCCCGCGTCTTCAACATATACACGCGCGCCCATCAGCTCCGCCTGTCTGAAGCCAGGTTTCCACGATTGCAAAACGCATCAGCCAGTGCTGCGACCGCTACGTCCGCACCTGGACCAGCTTCTTTGTATCTCCTATCATCCCCATCCGGATACCAGGGGCTCCTTTCCTCGCCCCAAGGGGCAGAGGCTATGCAAGCCACCATCGACAGGCTTCGCGCAACTCACCCTCCAAATCGCACAACAAACCAAGATACTGCTCCGGTGCCTGAGGTCCGCCCCAACGCGAATGCAGCCGTCCTGGAGAATGTCGTTCGCCGGGCCGTGCTCAACCAGCGGGGACTCGACAACAACCCCAACCAGAACGGACAACTGGGCTTTGCGCGAATCATGCGGCGGCTCTGGCAGTTCGTCCGGCTATATTTTTTCTGCTACATGTTCACCGAACCCGGGACTTGGGCGCGCGTGTTCTTTGTGACGCTGGCGGTGCTCTTCGTGCTATCCTCGGAGACCGGGGTGGATCAGCGACTGTACCAGTTGTTTGTGGCTCCGGTGCAGCAACACCTCGAAGGTCTGGTGCATCTGACCCCTAATGAGCCGGCCCAGGCCCAAGGCCAGGGTGGTCAGGGTGCCGTTGGTGGTGGTGGTGGTGGTGGTGGTGGTGGCCCAACGAACGGCAATCCCCGCACAGGGGTTGCAGGTGAGGTGCGTCATCAGCTGCGGAGGGTGGAGCGATCTGTGGCCTTGTTCATTGCGAGCCTGGTGCCCGGAGTAGGCGAGCGCCAGGTCGCGGTGCGCAATGCTGCGGAAGCTGCGCAGCGCGCACGGGAGGAGGAAGAGCGCCGTCAACGTGAGGAAGCACAGCAGCAGCAGCAGCAGCAGGAAGAGCAGGAAGAGCAGGAGAACAACGCGGATGCAGCGCAGAGTGAAGGTCACACTATGATACCCCAGGCAGCCGAGAACTGATGTAGCAAGTCATCAGCCATATTGCCACAGACTTCACCCCTTTTCTTTGCTTACTGTACGTTATCCTCGTTTGGCTTACATGCGACATATTTTCCATTGACCTCGCCACGCGTTTAAGCCTTTAGCCTCAGAATTGAATATACTCATTGATATGGGATTGTAGTCTGCCCTTGCTGCTTCAGTCGGACATGGTCTGAGACATATCTATGCTCCCTTAATCAGAGATGTAGTGTCGGCGATAAGCGGGAGTTATGCAATATATACGCCTTCTTACCAGGAACATACTACTAGTAGCTCTTACCTTCAGTATTTACATTTCTCCCCACCCCCCATCCCGAGACCACGCGTCAGTGTCACAATTTCGTCCCCCGTTCACCTGCTCCATCGGCACTAGCCATAATATCCAAACTCGACGTCGGCCCCGCCTCCTCCGGCGCCATCGGCCCCGTATCAAACCCTTCTTCTCCATCAAAGTGCCTACAAAGGGAACGTAACACCGGTTAGCCCACATTCCAAATCCCCTCACCCACAAAACCGAACCACAAGAAACCGAATCACAAGAAGGGGTGGGGGGGGGAAGAGAAATTACGAACCACCCTCGTTCAGCCCCCTGACTCAAAAACCCACAGTCGCCATTCCGGACACAATCCCACCCCCCAGCAACCCCTTTGCCGCCCCGCCACTCCGGGACCGTGGTGCCCGTCCGAAGAACTTTCGTGCCCCGTGCCAGTAATGGTACCTCAGCATGCGACCCGGGCGAAGCATCACCCTGCTCCCCGCTCTCGCCGCGGCGACGACGGCGGCGGCGGCGAAAGGTACTCAGGCCCGCGGTGAAGACGGCGAAGTCCTCTGTGTTCGGGTCCGGCGGCATGTGGCCCGTCAGCGCGCGGCCCATGGCGATCAAGGGCGCCGCGTGCGAGCAGATGAGGATGGCCTTGCTGGAGCGGGGCTCGTGGGCGGGCTGGGCGGCCTCCAGCGCGGCGATCTCGGCGTCGACGTCGGCGAGGATGCCGGAGAGGGCGGTGGCGACGCGGTCGTGGAGCTGGGCGATGGTCTCGCCGGTGGGGGAGGGGATCACATGGGGGGTTGGTGGTGGCATCGAGGAGGAGAAGGGGTCTCCTCCTCGGTCCCGTGCACTCGGGGGCGGAGATGTCGCCGGCGGGAGAGGGAGGAGGGTCGGGAAGTGGGTGGCGAGGATGGAGTGCGGGGCGGGCTGTGGGTGTTCGAAGAAGGTGGTGTGGCCGAACCATTCTCTTTATGTCTGCATTAGTGGCTGGACGGGTCTGTTGGATGAGGGTCGGAGAAAGGGGGAGTGCGGTCCTTCACCTACCCTAGACCGTTCTCAATGCGCACATCGAAGTCGGCGTGGGGTTCGATGGTGCTCTCGGTAGGGGGTGTAGGAGAGGTACCATCGTTCGAGCAGGTCCTCTGGTGGAGCGCTTTCAGGGCCTCCACGGATGGCTGGATTGTCTGGAGGCATCGGTAGAATGGGCTGCAGTAGACGCGAAAGGGTTTCGGATGGATGCTGTCGCTGGTCAGATGCGCAGCGAGCTCGTGGGACTGGCGCACGCCGTGGGAGGTGAGGGTGGGATCGGCCGGATTGCCTGTCGGGGTTGGGAATTGAGCATGGTAGGTGCCCGTCTTGTAGTCGATCGTCCAATTGAGCCGGTGCTGGAAGCCCAAACGCCACGTTAGTAATTGATGGGTGGCTCGAGGGACAGAATGGTAGTACACACGCCGTGACGGGTGAGGTAAATTGTGTCGAGAGGCATGGTGGTATACAGTGGCCTCAATGTATGCCCAGTAGTTAGAGGGCTTGAGGGCAGACTGCGGGGGAAATCCTGGGGTGAAACAATGACTAGCGCGAGCGGTCAGCGGCCATTGTGAAGTCGGCCTCGGTCCGAGCGTAGAGAAATTTACACTATGCCTACGAGGTAGGTCGATTCTACTGCTCTACCGGTAGGAACATGGAAAGGTTGGTGAAACGACGGGAAAAATCCTTGTTTGGTTGGACGAGATCACTCTAAATCAATAAACTATCTATGGCGTTTCTGCCGGGGGGTATCGATTCCGAAAACTCTCCGCCAAGACAGGCAACAGAGAGCACATCCCTCGTCCACATCATCACAAGTCATATTCCAATCATTTCAGGACATCGCAAGATGAAACTTTTTAGTAGAAGAAACCGAGGAGCTTGCCAGCAACGTGCTTGCGGCGAGCCTCCTCGTGGTCCATGATACCAGCGGAGGTGGTCAGGACGACGAAACCGAACTGACGGGAGGGGAGGAGCTGGGTGGTCCACTTCTCGAGGTCACGGAGCTGAACGGGGTAGCGGGGGTTGATGACACCGGTCTTGTTGAGGCGACCGTTGAGCTGGATAACGATCTTGCCGGAGCGGTGGTCATCGACCTCCTCGAACTCGCCAATGTAGCCTGGTAAAGGAGAAAGATTTAGTGGTTTGTGGCGCGGATTTAAAGGTTAGACCAAACACAGAAATCAAAAATGAGTTTCGGAAACTTGTAAGATCCTCGCTGGCTTCAATATATCGGGCACTTAAAGGGCGAGCGTTGTATGACATCCGAAACAGACCGCCTAGTTATCAACCCGAACATTTTGTGGACTACTAGTTGTGATGCCGGCGCTCGGATCGAACTCATTCTCGCGAAAACTCATTTTCCTTTCTGGCCCAGTACTCGAATGGGTCCAAACGTACCGTGCTTCTGCATGACAGAGAGGAACTTGATGATGACCTTGGAGGAGGGGCGGATCAGAACCTGACGGCGACCGCTCTTCTCGGCGTTGTTGATGGCGTTGAGCGCATCGTTGAGGACGGAAGTCTTGACCATTTTGACGGTGGGAGAGCGAGATTCTCAAATCGAGGGAATACGAGGGGAAATGAGGTATCTGAATCGAAGACAACTCCAACCTAGGATCCTCTCGGCACCGTTTCAGGCGCGAGGAGGATTTGCCGGAGTCCAATAGTCAGCCACCAGTAGTCCTCGAGCGCAAAGAGTGCCCCTGATGCAGTCCATAAAGGGTTCTTCAGCCCGTGCCGTATGAGGAGAAGCGTATCACGCCGGCCTTCCTGGTTGTCTTCATTGCGGTCGGTTGCTACACCTGCAAGTAAAAAAAACACCAAAGAATCCGGGTGATTGCTCTCCCAGACTAGCTGAGAAGCTGCAGAACAGGGAGAGGCAATAGGTTGTACATACCTCGTGAAGTGTCGACGACGTCGGTTGAGATCAAAGGAAGGGGATGGAAGCGGACGCGGCCGACAAAAGTGAAGAAGTTTTCATGGGATGTGCGGGTGGGCCCTAGGGCTGTCTATCCGTGCCCTTATCTCGCGCACGTGACCATTTTGATCTATATGCCTCAGGCACCGGTTAGAACAGCTGCCTACCGTACGATGTAGGTTATGTGCGGATGGTGTTTGTCAAGCCTAGGACTCCGGTACTGTGTCTAAAAGGCATGACATGTTTAGATGCAAAATCCCCGTTAGATGAGATGTTCTATGGCAGGAGAAGAGGGTGAATCGAAGACTGCAACCTTTCTACAATTTAAGTCGTAGCTGCTCGTCTGAGATTAGCTGCCACAGTGTGTGCTTCCCCCGGGCAGTGACCGGGCAAGTCATTCGGCCACATAGGAGCACAACAAATGCACTATGCACAGCTGCTTGCTTATGTGACCACTATAGAATACGGGCAACATTACAAATCTTAAATGTATACGGCAATAAAGGGGATGGGTTTATCATTCTATACATGTCTTCTTGATCCGATTAAGGGTCGGTGGAGTAAGGGTAAGGTGAAATTCGTGACAATAGGAATGGGGGTACATGACTTCTTGGGCATACATGATAATGCTAATAGAACCTCTGTCTAATTAAAAACGGCGTGAGGGGGAACGAAAATCGGCAGGTGGGTAATGGTAATAATAGGGGTGAAGCAAGGTCGAGAACGCAAGGCCGATGAATGGTGCCAATGTGCATTGCGAGATGGCATGGAAAAGGAAGAGTCCGAAAAGCAGTCAACTGCACAGGACGGACATCCTGAACGCTGCGGCAACATGGGCAAGGGAAGGGGGCTGTTTTGGTGCGGATAGTAGGGGGGTAAACGTGGGCGAGGATGAGAGAGTTGGTACAAGGTGCTCAGGGGGGTGTGGAGTCAGGGACGGTGCCGGCGAAAAGATCGACCCTATTCGCAGTATAATAGACTGAAAATACGGTCACTTGATGAATGAGCAATCTGGGAGCGACCCGGAGTTCCGTAGAATGCAAGTCCATCAGCCAATGAGGCCAGCGTCGCCACGGCGTTGCTTCCTTCGGTGCGCCAACAGCTGGCGGCGTCCTGTAAGGGGGGGGGGGGGGGGGGCATTTGTCGAGTGAAAGATCAATGACGGAAGGGCATCTGATACTTGTCACTTAAGCCATAGCAGCAGCAGTGGACATGTTGATCTGGCGCTTGACTTGCTCGCGGGTCCACCGGGCAGTGTCAATGGTACGAGGTCCATAATCACGGTTCTGGCGGGTTTCGCGAACAAGGGCAGTGACCCAGTCGTTGCGGAAGTAGTTGGAGAATTCGCCGTTGGGGAAGCCCTCAGCAAGATCACTGACAGCGAAGTTAGCTAGAATTCACAAGACTGGTTTGGATAGCGACAACTTACCCAAGAACACCCATAGCAGCCCTCATCAAGCCTTCACTGCGGTTGATGTCCTGAGAAACGGTGTGAAGCAGTTGGAAGATGTGGTCGACGAAAGGTGTGATGTGAGAGACTGGAAAATGATGTTAGCAAAGCACATGCGGAGGGGTAGTAGACGATGCTTACTCTGAGGCTTGCCCTTGTAGGCCAAAAGGATACCACCCCAAGCATCCATGATACCCTCACGGAGGGAGATGATGTAGTCGATGGCGTCAAGAGAAACGTCGTCGCTGGCAGTCACGGCCGCGGCCTGGTGGAGAACAGTTGCGACAACCTGAAGATAGGTATCAAACTGAGTGCCGATAGCCTGAGCGATATCTCCAAACGTCTCAAGGATAGCAGGCTTGAGCTGATTGCCGCAGGTCTTGGAAAACAGTTAGTTGAACGGTTACAGAACTACCGAGACTGTTGACTTACCCGCAAAACGGTGAGCAGAGCGTTCATGAAACCATCACAGAA